AGTGGGGTTGAGTTAGGGTTCTGCAGCAGCTGCCATTTTTTCTTGCTACATATTACTACATAGTGTTGCCATTATGACTATTGTTATTGTCTATTTTCGGAGGCCTGCGATGCTGAGCGAGCTTTGGAGGTGGTGGTGCTCGACTTACATTCGCCGGCACGTTGGCCGTGTCAAGCTGTACGCGTGCGCATGGGTTAGTACCCCATCATTACCACAAACAAGGCGGTTAGAGAATGGAGCATGTCAAGAGCTACTCCTATGACCGAATGTTCCTCACGCCCAGGAGGACATTCTCAAGAAGGGAGATGCTGCGGCCTCACAAAGTGGTGCATTTGCAGAACCTTGCTACACACGTGCCACCGCAGCATGCGTCTGCACCACTCAGGAAGCCCCATAGTCCCTTCCCCTTTAATGTGAGCCTCCCCGCCCCAGCTTCAATATTGAAGGCTCCTGGGACAGAATGCCTGACTCATGAGGATGCCAGTTCATATTGCATGGGCTTTCGAGAATAGCTTTTGTAACCTCTCTTGAAAGAGTTTTTCCTACAGTCCCCATGCTGGCAACCTCCAGAATTTGTCGCGGTTTTGGGCTGGAGGCCTTTCACAACTTCTGAATGACACCCATCCTGAGGGAGATTGCTTTTGAAAGAGAATATGGGGCAGCACCTCGGGCTACAAAAATACAAATCTTCATAACTCGGCAGAGTGCAGCGGAACCTAAGCCTCATCGCTACCGTGAGAGGGTCTCTGTAGCGACTTGCCACAGCATATACCATACCCAGCATATGCTGCTACGAGCCTGATTATTGGAGTAAAAACTAGTTGGTGCTCGCTCGTGTAGGACTTTATTATACGCATGTCCTTGTTCGGTTTGTTATTTGGGGGATCTTGCCTCAGCATAGGTTTAGGCGGCCGAGCTGTGAGGGATATGGATGTGGGGGGGTTCCCCAAAATTAGGGGTAATTACCTGACTGATTGGGATAGGGATTATAATATTTTGGGGTCTATATTAGGGTCCCCTTATTTTAGGAAACTACCATGTTTCTGAAAGTCAGAGTTACTCTGTCCTCAGCACACCTCAACGCTATCCTCCGGATGTATTACCTTTCACTTCCCTGTATGATTCCTCTTGAAAAGCCATGCGCAATGTGCCCGCCAAGTTTGATAAAGGCCCTTTTAGCTTCAGTGCGGGGTCCCATTAGTATTAATATTTTAGGGGAACCCCCCACCCAGTAATAGTGACTATAAGGGATAATGAGGATCATATTAGGGTCCTCTTATTTTCCTATGATACCACTATTACAGGGTGGGGGGTCCTCCTCATTGATATTATTTTTAGTAATTTTATTAATATTAGTAGTAGTAGTAGTAGTAGCAGCAGCAGTAGTAGTAGTAGTAGTAGTAGTATTTATCATCCTCGCCCCTCACGCCCCACCAATCCCAAGGTACGAAATCCATCCGCCTTCGTCGCTGCCAGCCTGGCAAAGTATCCTCAGTTGGCGGCCTAGGGGCGGGGTTATCATGAGTATTAGAATAACAAACAAAAACATAATTTAGTGATATTATTAAGTAATATTAGTATTATGTAATTCTGCGAACGTTGTAGTGTTTTGGGTTTTAGAGCTCTATGTTTCAGGGATCACTGGAGGTGGCGTTTCGGGATTTGGGGGCTTGGAGTCTAGAATTTCAGTTGCCTTTTATGGTTTCGGGTTTGGGGGTTCAGGTTGAGGATGAGGGAGTTGGCGTCCAAGCTTCAGGGGGTCTGCGATATACTTGAAGCCTCCAGACACCCAGAAGAGTAGCCACTACTACAAGACAGGACCTTTGGGCATTCGGTAGTCTAGGTCAGCTATAGTCTAAACTCCTAGTATCCTCCCTTATAATCCCTGATATAATCCCCTATATAACCCCTTTAAGGAGTTAATATTATCATTTGTAGAATGGTCGCTGTTGTTCGCCTTTTCAAATTTTCAGATGAACGCAGCTCCCGGGAGATGGGGGGCTGTCAGATGCATGTTTCAGAAAATCATGTGAGGGATTGTCAAAATTATGGTCCCTTTTTGGGTCCCCTAAATTAGGCCCCGTATTAGGCCCCGTATTATAATAGGGACCCAAAAGGGACCATAATTTTGACAATCCCCCATGTGTCCACAAGAATTTATGCAGTTGAGGTATAGAATGTGGACCCCTATTAGCCAGGAGACTGTCGCAGGCTTCAAGGCCATGATGTCAAGGAAACTAAAGGCCGCACGGTACACCAGAGGGCACCTACAGTTTGAAGCAAATTCCATGCAGTTTGTTTGACCAATTCCAGTGCACTTCTTGATTTGGCTAAGGCCACGGGGCACGCGGGTGGAGGAGCCCTGGGCAAGGCCAGCAGGGGTCATTTAAGTTGGATTTTTAAAGTTCATGGCGCCTATGGATGTAGAGCTGTGGATGTAGAGCTTACTTGAAAGGTTTGTTAGTGTTTGGAGTGCCCAATAGGATGCTCCTTAGAAACAAGGCCTCAATGCACCCAGTACGGACTTAGACCAGAGTAGGGTGCAGCTGGTTTGTGTTTTTTGGTGTGTCTCTGGTTCCATGCTAGATTCCCAGAACCGAAATCCTTGTGAAGAAATGCCTTGGACATAACATTAAGAATAGGTTTCAAGCAGTTCTTGCATTTTCCATCTTAGCACAGTTCAATCGAGCAAAAAGTGCAATTTAATCAAGAAATCTGCAATTTAGGCTGTCCCCCGAATTCAGCATGAAACATCCAAACGTGGAATGAGGCCACTGCCCACACCACCTCCCGCGACAGCGGTCCGCCCTTCCAGCATACACTCTGGGCACGGCGGGTGTGGAGCCGAGCTTGTTGACATGTGGGCTATTCACAAAAAATGGGGCCCAGGTTGTGGGAACTACCCATGTCATTCTGAGCACCATCACACACCATGCTCATCGCCATGCTTCCTCTTGCCATTGACATCCGCTTCATTACGCACAGCAGAGATTGTCAGCATTGGACTTACCACCAGTAGTACTTTTCCTTGTTTCTGTTATTGCTCCCAGCAGGTTGCGATCATTTGTTCAAGGTGAGGCTGGCGATGCTTCAGTTTACTGTCTAGCATTGTGGGATCGCGGACGTAGTCTAAAGCAGAACACAGTTTGAGCTTCACTTCTAGATCTTGACTGTGGAGTTCACTGAAGGGCCCCATCCCAACTTGAAGGACGAGTGCTACAGAAGGGATCGTCAAATTCTCAATCCAAGCCACGATAATGGTAATCATGGTTACTATAGCAACAAGAGTAAAACAGAAACATAATCCCCTATATAACCCATTATTATAGTAGTTTCCATTTTCTTTTCCATTATCCCAATATGACCCCAATATATCAATAACAATCGAAAGTTCTCCTGAGGCCTGGACCTTCTGCGAGGTCATGGCCGCTATCCCGGCAGCAGCAGGCCTTGGGCATGATGGAGGGACTTGCAAGTGGGGGGTGGGGTTATAGCTTTACAGGGTTCTTATTAGAGTCTATAGGGCTTAGAAGGGCTTATGGATTTTTATGGGCTTTATGGGGCTTATGGGTTTTTTAGTGTTTACGGGGTTTAGGGTTTAGGGGGTTTACAGGGGTTACAGGGTGAGTTTAGGGAGTTTATAGGACTTATGGGGTTCATAGGCTTTATCGGGCTTATGAGGTTTTAGGCTTTGAGGGGATGTGTAAGGCCTTGCAGGGATTTGGATATCTGGGGGTTGATCTAAAGGTCCTTGGGAAACTATTTGGGACCCTAAACCCTAGACCCTAAACCCTACCCAACGTGCATAAATAAAAAATGAAGGGAAACAGTGACAGGAATCTTGATCAACTACTATCTGGCATACACAGGGCTTACCCGGGATGTGGAAGGTCATGGGGGGCCATCACGTAGAATGCGTGGTTGCGCCCCCACCCAATCTCAAGTAATAGCTTGATCAGTATTAACTATGGCACTACGTACTGGGAATCGGACCTTTGACTGTGGCAGAGCCTATGCAAGATGCATTGGTATCTCGAGCTGCTTGCGGTATAATGGTGCTATTGTGGGGCTCTTCGCCGCCGCATTCCAAGAGCGTTCCAGCCCTGCATCGATGCAAGGTTGACTTATCTGCTTACTGGAAGAAGGCAAGTCTGAACCACCCGCAACATCACATGCCGTGTATGCGCTGGCACCACTGCTTCATTGAATTGCTGTTGATAGCAATCTGAAAAATATGCCACCGCCGCCACCGCCACCGCCGCCACGAATACCACCACGACTGCCACCGCGACTACCACCACGACCATGACAATGCCAATGACTGCCGCAAACTCCGTCGACGCTGGACCCCCAGTCCTGCATTCGTACCTTAAGCCTCTATCCGCTTCAAGACACTGAACTGAAAGACATACTTTTCAAAACTGCAACCCTATTCGCCCAAACTCTTATCAGCACAGGTCCATCGATCGAGGTATTTGCCCCAGGAAAGGTGCGCTTGGCTTGCTGGTTGCCAGCCGAGAAAGCAAAGATAAATGGAACCCACCATGCGATTAGTATGTCCTGTGAGGGATTCTTACTACAGCTTCTGTATAGCTGTGTTGCGTGGCCCCTGTTCCTGACTGCTTGGCATCTGTATTTCTGACGGCCAGGCCTTGACGCCCAAAGTATGCCAGAGTCTGCTAACTGCTGCTACTAGATGCTACTAGTAGCGTATTGAGGAAGATCAATCATACCCCCAGAGAGGTTACGATGGAACCCCCCCAAAAAGGGCTCACGCTTTGCAGTACCTTCATTCAGTGACATCCTGATCCTGTTCCTGGATACTATAGCCGCCTTGTAAAAGTTTGACCCCAGAAAGACATGAAAGTGAGAACCCTAGCCCCAACGGTTCTTCGTCGGAACTGCGAGAACCAATCTACAGTAGCTGTCACACGAGTAAGCTTCTGCAGCATTTTGGCACAGGCGTTTGCCAATTTCTTTGTGATCTATGCTGAAAGAAAATGCCCAGGGCAATTGTGGGAGTTCAAGCCGCCCTCTGGTGCTTGGCAGCAGCACACAGCTCCGCTGAAGGAAATATTCGCGGAACCTCCCATATCAAGTTCCTGGATGTTGAGTATTTCAATCGGAATGACGTGGACAATCTGGTCGCACAGCAGATGGCCCACGATCTGCAAAATGCTTCACGTTTGCTGCATCTTCGCTCCGACTTGGAGCCCATTTTCCGGACTTTGGCAAAGACTCCGAACGGAGGCTGGACTTTGGTGAAAACAAAGATGTCAAAAATCAATGTTGGTGAGCAGGAGTGCATGCCTGCATGAACATTCAAAACTTATACACAAGGGAGGGGGAGGTCAGGATAAGCCTGACTTGACGACATTCATTTGGATGCAAGTGGTTTTGGTAGACACCCCACCCCCTAGCCCTGTTGCTTGCAAATATTATGAAGAAGGGTCAGGATAACAATAGTAACAGCCCACGGCGGAGGCTTGAGCCACCAAGCCACCAGATACGCGCTCTTCCGTTTCTTCCTCAACGAGCGCAGCTGGTTGGTGAAAGGTCTGGAACCAGAAGGCCGACCGCACCATCTGACGGAGATCCTTGCCAATCACGTTCACAAGGGCCTGTGAACCAGGGTTTACTAGCCATTACCAGCCCAAGATGTCACACGTGAATCCCTCCAGATTCCAGAAAGGGTCCTCTTCTACCCGTACTGTTCCTACAACCTGAGCCAAGTAACAGCAAAGACTATTGAACATGCACTCCTTGAGGGTTAGCCCGATAGACAGCAGATCCCCAAGCATTTCTGATTGTTGCCTCGCACCCCCAACTAGGGCAAAGACCTAGACAATGATGGGCAGCAAACGCCCAACCTGAACGAATGACCTTTGAGCTCTTCAAACCCACACGAAAGAGGTTGTGAAGTACTACTTGCTTGCAAGTCTTGTGCAGGCACTTGGAAGACACAGCCCGAGCGGCTTCGTAAAGATCCTTGGTTGCAAGCTTTCGGCAACTTGTGCCTCAGCGAGTAGGCTTTTAGCGACAAGCCTACGTCACAAGAGCTGCTTGACACAATGGCTAGTCCGTCCTATTGTCCCCTGCTCCCACAACCGCCATATAAGCACAGCTTCCAGTTGAGTTTCCGTTGTCTTTTCCATGTGTTTCTCCATCTTGGGGTACTACCCCTAAACTTCTACATCTCCATACGTGTATCCCCTTAGCAGGGACAGAAGCCCTAAACCTTAGTTTTTGGAATTAATGTGGCCCTACAGCCTGCACATCCTGATATACCTCGACATAATCCCCATAGCCCCCCACATATCCCTTTATACCCCTACATGTAGCCCCTTTATTCCCTGTAAAGGGACCCTCAATTCTTAAAAGTAGCTTCCATTATCCTTTCCACTATCCCTATATAACCCCACATGTACTATAGTAGCTTCCATTTTGATTTTCCATTCTCCCTATCTGAACATAACCCCAATATATACCCTATTATAATATGGTAGTTTCCATTTTATTTTCCATTCTCCCTATACAACCCCAAACAAAAGCTAAGGCCTGGGAGAGCTGGGTACCTTCTTATCTGCAGCAGCGTTTCGAGCAGGCGAAGCAGAGCGAAGGTGGGATGGAAACTTTGAAAGCTTTCCAAAGTTCTAGGGTTTTGTATGCATTTGTCGGGGAGATATATATATATATAAAGAAATATAAGAATGTATATAGTATATATGTATATACAGGTTTATCTATCCACACACCTACCTGAGGGGGAATGTCTAGGATCTGTGCGATGGTTTTCTGGGAATAGTGTGTTGCGATGTTTCTTTGGAGTCTGCGTCTTTTTTGGGTGGTCCCTGCCATAAGGATCCCATTTTTTGCGAGACTGAGAACGCCCTAGCTTTCAGAAATACCCATCAGCACCTATCATGTATTGCCCCTCAAGCTACAGGGCTTGGCAAATGATAAAGTTGTCTGTTTGAGCCTTTCACGACAGAATGGATGAGTTTTGCCTAGAGGTCCGGAGAGCGCGTGTCCATTGGGCAGTCGCTGATTGGTGTTTGTACTGTGGAGGAGCGAGGGTGGCGGTTCAGGGTGGAGGGTTGATCATTGAGGCAACGAAGGGTGCAATCCGACTCCCTTGCCAGCCGCTGTCAGAGGGAACCTCGATCTGAGGAGTTTATGCAACATCGACGGCGCCATTTGATTCTCTGAACAAGGATGGTAACTACGACTAAAGAAAGCGTGGACATTAATTGAGCAGAAGATAACCTTACTGAATACTAACACCAGGGTTTTACTCGGGAGAATATTCCCCTGAGCCCTCCCCCATGTGCACCTGTCCTGGAAATGCAGGTGCCTCTTTGGAAGACTTGGTGGAGATTGCGGCTGTTATCGAAGATCTCGTGTTCCAGGAGCAGCATATTCAAACATGATTCAAGTAGAGGGACCTCTACCAAATCAATTTCCAACTGCAGTGCAGGGACACCAGGTGTGCTGGCAAAGTGGCGTGTCGCACTTGAGCATATTGGGAGCCCCTGTTAGGGTATCCAAGCTTTGGCCATCGATACAAACTTCGTTTCAGAGCTCTTATGTCTCAGACATTTGCTGATGCATTGCGGAAAGGGGCAGCTGGCGTTTCAGCTTTCCTGTTTCCTTTGCCCACCCCCGCAATTTGCTCTTCTGCTGGGATCGTTAAAGGCAGGGTGCAGCATTACATACATCTGGAAGCAGCTTCCTTCAGACTTGCAGCCGAAACAGCCCAAGGAAACAAACGCACTTGAGGATCCCAGTATGTTCTGGCGGAAATTTGCAAGCATGATCCTCATGCTTGCTTGACCTACCTGGCTTGCAGCCAGGAGTCGCAGAATCAAATGGCAAAGGTCTTTGAGTCCCTGGACCTGCCGTTGCCACTCGTTGGATAAATTCATGTGGACACAGCGCAAGAGCTGTTTGGAGAGGGCTCCAGTATGTGGCCCGAAGCAGGCAAAGTAAAACTCAGCGAGCCTTCGGGGGGAACTTGGTCCCTGCAAGCCTCAACAAGGCTTCAGAGTGCCGACAAGATGGTTTCTGCTAGGGGGGCGTGATGAACGGCTCACGGTTGAATCAGATTACCACAACATTCTGCACCTCCAACATGTCGTTCTTTTACAGTTGCTTTCGTTCATGAGCTTCGACTATAAGGTTTCCAGAGGACATAGGCTTGCTGACATGACAGCAGCAAGGGAGCAGGCCAACACGAGTTCAGAAGTACGCCCATGTCTAGGATTCAATTTCGTAAGCTAGGCGATGTGCAGACCCGCCAAAGCCTTCGAAGTGGGAGTTGAAAAAAACACACCCTGCAAAGTCCTAGTTTAGGGGTTAAGGTTTAGGGCATAGAGTCTGGGACCCCTCGAATACCCTTGTCATCCCAGATATCCCACATATATCCCGATCTTGGGGGCCCCTGTTTCAAGAATTCCCAATCGCTGGCAAAACCACTTAACTTATCTATATATACACACATACACGTTTACATGAATGTACCATATCCTTACAGCCCCTTTGTGTACACCTGCGGGCTACCCATTTTGAGAAACACCAATGTGAGGCATGGTTTCATTAGACGCGAGCAGGCAAGCATGGCAACGGCTTCGCGCTCAGCTTTAGTGATTACAGTTTGGAGTTTAGGATTTTCCTACTGGTGGTGAGCAGGGTCTCTTTGACGAGGTTATGGGAAGTATGTAGGGTATGGGTTTAGGTGTTTTATTAGAAAATATACGCGCATGATTGCGTTTTTCGGGGGGGTGGGGGGGGGGTGTTGTGATGCACTCAAACCAAACTCGTTTGTGGCAAGGGGCGGTTGGCAATATGTACTGTAGCTGCAACACTCATTCTCTGATCCTGTAACTAAAGGGCACTCAGCCCTTGTCAAGTACTCACGCTGGTACGTCATGGCCTGCGTTTGAAGTTTCATGCTGTCTACCGCCAACGCTTTTAATATGTTTGCCATGGTTTCAAATGTGTCCAGGCTTGCACGTCTTACATAGATCGTTGACGAAATCGAGCCTCGCAGCACATGAAGGGCGCCTGGAGAAACAGCTGAGGACATGTATTTGCTTGTTGTGCTTACAGCCCAGAATCTTACCTTGGCAGAGCCGGAGAAGAACAGGAAGCGGTTGCAGGTCCTGCATCGGAAGACGGACCTCTATGCAACGGCGATAACATGGTTGCGGCATTTGGAAGACAGGCCCTTATCTATGGATAAACAAGGGTTCTGTGCTTGAAGCCCCGGATATTAAGTGCAATACCATATTACGGGTTCATGAGAAACCCGTGATTTTTAGAAGGTTTGATTCCCACCTCATCCAATCCAAACAGGATTCAACAGCGCATTGGATTGTACTTGGCAGCCCCAGATTTGACTCTGGTAGAACAGTATCAGGGGACTTGCCAGTTGCCCACCATACCTACATGCCCATGACAGTGCAGCTTACAAGTCAGATGGCCCCGGAAAACCTGAAGCCCTTCCTGCTGGGCATCCGACTAAGGGCACTGACCCTACCGCGTCCCCTTGCCGCCATGCAGGATTCTTAAGAAAGAGGATGGTGGCTACAGCTTCTCTGCCGTCAGCAAAGTTGCAGAGGCTTTTGGGACAGAGTTCCCGAGCTTCAATGACAAGGAGCTCCGGAGCTGTTCTGGGCGTATCCCGTCAACCCTAGCCGAGCATGCGGAGGTTGCAGCGAGAGCTTCAGAATGCAACAAAGTGCAACACTTCCTTTGCACTTGCACACGAGCTCACCTGATCTCACCTGAATTTGGTTTGCAATTCCATGCTCAATAAAAGCATCCGGGAGGTGAGGGTATGGGTCATGTGGACTTCACGACGAAGCTCGAGCTTTGCTTTGTCACAAGCTCCATGCCCCCAGCCTGAGACCTCAAGGTTCAGATGTCTAGGCACAGACCAGCCAGCAGGCACCACGTATGCCCGTGATTGCGCGTGCAGGAGTGCTCCGACCTCAAGGCGCGGTTTGGGGTAGGGTATGTCATGATTTTCGAAGTGGAGAACACTTCTGTGTCTTTGCTTGGCATCGGGTGAGTGTTGTATAGGTAGGAAACCAGCTGAAAGATCTTGCAAGATGCCTTTCCTGCATTTGAGTTTTTGGGGGCCCAGGAGGTGGGTAGGGCAAAGGCTACGTTACGCTGGCCCCACCCGCAAGCCATATACATGCAGCTGTCAAACTACACCCAACGGTCTGATCTATTTGGGGTCTCTAGCATTGAGCCTGACTGCCTCCGGCATTTGTAATGGAGGCTCATGAGCAGTGTTGACTAAACCCAGAAGTCATGACTTTCAAGTCGTGCTTGCTGAAAATCAGAATCCTCCTTGCCCGAAGTCGGCTATGCCTGAAATGAGATCCCGCCTGGTGTGGCCCAAAACCCTTTGCTTGCAAAGGGAAGCCAAGTTTTGGGGCCGCAATAGAACCGTGATCCCGACATGATCTACCCCAATAGAGGGGGCTTCCGGAAATCATCGCTGATGTGCTACAATCCTTGTTAGAACGACCCCCCAAAAAGGGACACCTCATTTTTTCATGTTTCATGTTCTTTTCATTTGATTCTCCATTATTGGCGTAATAATCCCCATCTACAGCCTATACATCCATTACGGGGTATGAACCACCCCTTAAGAGGACCCCCCACCCTGTAATAGTGGTAAACAGGACTATAAGAGGACCCTGGTATAATCCTTCTTATCCCTTATAGCCACTATTACAGGGTGGGGGGTCCACCTGAACCACCCCCATTTGAGGCGAGACTCGTGTCAATGGAAGGAGGCAGCCGTAAGCCTGGCAGCTCGGCGAACATTATCCCGGCAGGTGGCCGGGGTTCAAGGGAGTTTGGAATTTAGGGTGTTTCCCAAAATTAGGGGTACCTTTTTGGAGGTCCTCATTATAAGTACTATAGTATTTGGGGGTCTAAATTGGGGTCCCCCTATTTATGGAAACTACCATTTAGGGAGGTTCCAGGTGCTACACAAGACGGGGTTGGGGAGGGGCAGGCTTGCGATTTGTGTTTCGAAGTCAAGGTGTTGGATTTACCGGTGCGGGCGCTGGGCATGTCTGTATTCTGAGTAGCACTTATAGCAAGCACGCATGTCATGGCACGCGTGATCACCTCTCAGAGGCATTGCAGATGTCTCACTGAGTGTACTGTGAGTTGGGGCTTTGGTATGGGAGGAAGAGATTGGAATTGCACCAGGGAAGGAATACAGCTGCATGACTTGGGACATCGGAGCACTCACACGACATTCTCGACCGCTACTTCTTTGCCCCTACTACTGCAACGGCGGCTTTTGCTGCTACTCCTCCTCCTTCCCTCCTGCCACTGTTTCAGTTGCTAATACCACCACCACTACGGCGACGACGACGACGATTTTTACTGCTACAATTAACGCTTACACCACCGCTCTACCGCCACCGCCGAAGCCACAGCCACGGCAACCACCACTAGTCCCCAGTACTACTACGCCGCCGACGACGGCAATGGAAGATTCAAGGCCGCATCCCCTTGACGGACTTCTACCGGAGCTCTGCATACAGGCATTGGAGGTTTTCAGAGAGCCCAGAGTACCTTCGCCATTTGGCCGCACAGATGTCCTGCGCAGAAATTGCAGACGGAGACTTGAGGCCAGGTTCGTAGGAGTCGAGGTCACTTCAACAGTCGTCAGGAGGTTTCCTGAACAGGGTAACAACAGGGTTTCCACGTAAATGATACCATACTATATTATACTATCTTACTCCTAGATTATGGTATATTGTGCTATATTAAGATATTATATGTCAGAACCTACTATAGTGGCACATTTGATTGCGGATTCCTAGCCTGACCTGCGCGGTGTGCAGCGGACTGACACTCACATCAGGTGATTTGGGCGTTCTGGATGAATCAGATCCTTACCGGCCTCACGTCATTCTGGCAAACTACATCTCTAGTCAGGATCTCAGAAGTGCTGCTGTCATTTTGTCTTCAGCTGAGTGGCTGACCGAAGGGGTTGTACTAGATGTACCTGAGCCAAGGCTACAATAACTGCATGCGCACCAGCGGCTTGTATGCCATCTGCTGCCGCAGTGTTTGCGGAGATATGATGAGTGCCATCGAGCAACAGGCGCTCCTTGCGGCAGAAGCATGGGTCTTGACATCACAGAGCAAGAACCCCTGTAAAGGACCCACAACTGCCTACATATTTGTGCAGCTATGCTGCTTGGAGTGTCATGGGTAGACATTGGTGGTATGGGTGCCCCAACCTCAATAAGAACCTCCGATGAAGAATCAAAAGCTTATTGGACTTGAAAAACCCTGTTTATAACCACCCATGAGCCCCACATAGATCCTCGAAGGTGGCGGGCCCCTCAGCGGATGCCTCCCAGCTAGCTCAGCTTGTGGCGGGCCTTGCGGGCACCACAGGCATTGGGATTTGCATTCAGTTCTTCTGTGGTCTACAGTAGGGCTCAAGGCTCAGCAAAGAAGACTTTGGCTGGGGCTTCCAGGCTGCGGTTCACTGTATAAGGTTGGGGAATACATTTTTTTGGTTGGCGTACGGTTTAGATTTGAAGTAGAGATTCTGTAAGCATGCGTCAGGTTTTTGGTCACTCTGCGAATGAACTCATATGTCCCCTGCAATTACCCTGCCTTACTTTTTCATGCAAGCCACAACTGCAGCGCCGTTAATTGATAACAACACACATGGAGGCCTAGATTCCAAGCTGCGACAGCGTCTTGACAGCATCGCTGCCCAAAGTGGCGGACGAGTACCGCTCCACGGTCGGCTGTTTGCCCAGTGCCTCGGAGAATCTGTCATCCATCAGTAGCGTCTCTGCTGTTGTCATGATTTGTCTTTGCTGCTACTTATCGAGGAAAATATGAGTTTTTGCCACAGGTGACGAATTTCTCTTCAAATGCCCGACTTTGGTTCGCCCAGCGTAGAGCATGCCCATATTCCAATGCTCGTACATTCCACGCTCCTCTTACGGCTCACATATTTGCCGCAAACCTTGTGGGTCCCACAACTTTTGACAACTGCAGAAACTACAAACAAAGATTGATACGCACCTGTTTAGGCAGGAATCCATTGTCGTTTGTGGTAATTGAAAGTTCTGGCCTGAGGTTTCTGCATCACGTTTTTCCTCGCGATTGTCCCTATCCGCACGAGGCAGGGATTATCCTGGTCTGCTTCGCCTTGAGTAGTGCTGCAGGCTCAATGAAAGCCGAAGGCCCATTTCAGATCTGAACTATTAAAAAGTTGCATCTGGAGGGAATTCTGAAATTAGCTCCGGGCTGGGTGAGCTTAGCGACTGGCTTTGATTAAAACATGTTTGCATGGACTTGTCGCGTTAGTGGGGCTATCTGTATCTTCTGGAATAGTGGGCGAGGTTTCGCGGCTAGAGCTAGCTGACACCACCAGGATATCAACTGGACTTCTGCTTACAGCGTCAGAAGACCATCGAGGGTTTCTAGGCGAGGTGCTACTCATGACCCTTGCGGCACTTGGCACAAGCTCAACAGGCCGATCTAGACTCTAGACCCCAAGAAAAGCGCAAAAGCAGCCATCAGAGGCCTTTGAGCTTCCCAGCGACCACGATGCCCGGAAGCCTCTTCATGACTGACTATCCCAGGATCTCTAAAGCCTCATAGAAAAACCCCAAGAATGGGAAAACTGCCCTTGCAACTATCCCATGGTGTGCAGGCAGGCACTACAAACCCGCAGACTCCAGATGACTGGACGAAATCAAATGGACGGAGCATCACGGTTTCTCAGGAGCAGCTGGAGAAGCTGGCTCGAGCGTCACGGCTGGGAGCAATTTTCTGGAAATTTTGTTTCTTACAGAACCTAAGGCCGTCCTTGCCCTGCAAATGCCTCTGCTGCTGCTGCCGCTGCTGCTGCTTCTGCTACGACGACCACTCCCCTCCTGCTGCTGCTCGCTGCTATTCTTCGATCACAGTTCATGTTGGGATTGCGTGGTTCTGGGTTTCGGTCTTCAGCATCTTGAGTTCAGCTTATTTTTCTGTGGGGTAGCCTTTGTGGAAATCGTAAAGTCGTTTGGCACCACGCTACTGGGAGGTACGTGGGTAGTGATAAACAGGGTGACAAGTCACGGAAACTCAAGAACTGCCCGTCATTCTCCACTTGCACCATTTGAAATATGGTCACATGCTAGCCAGTGCACCTGAGACATGCAAGTAGAGCTTTGCGTGGAGCGTGGGCAGCTGCAGCAAGGCCATTTAGACTACATGAGACTGAGGGTGTTTCCCTCCGGTCGAACTAAGGACACATGCCCCGCGGACGTTCATCAAGGCAATGCTCCCTCTTACTGCCAATCAGAGGAGGCAGATTTGCCGTGGAGCAACAGCGAAGATCGCGGAGATCTGTTGAACACGCCAAAACACCGCATCGCCCTGAGTCGTTCAACTAAACATATACTTCAGCCGGTATGATGTCATTAAATGTCACTTGGAACCTCAAAGGTAGCAGCAGGTTCTGATTCATCATGACATTCGTGCATGGGCGTGTGACCTAACAGGGCTGCTGAAGAGCTGAGGAGCTGGAATCAAGTTGACACAGTCAGAGTCCACCTACCAGGCTCTGTCTTTGCATCGCTTGTGCGCCGGTTACGACATGATTTGCTGCTTCTTTTCATACTGTGAGGAAGATGGAAACCTCCGCGCGATATACTTCAATTTTGCAAATGCACGACACTATTCCTTGTCATGACCATGCGATCAAGATGCGCCCCATCCTTTTCACTCCTTCGATGTTTGTCATCACAATGGTTCTTCAATGCTATGAGACGAACACATATCTGACATGTCTATATAGATATGCAGATGTATATACTTACTTGTATATATATATATAATGTTTGTTAAAAACACAATAACGCACATCATGTATCTCACTCGGGGCATTCCAGGCTTTGGGGTGCTGGCGGGCAAGACATGCCTTATGCAAGATCTTCCACTGCAGTCTCCTTAGGAGTTGTTTTTCATTTTTGTTAGAGTATAAACCTAAGGACTAAGGAATTATCAAGGTTAGTGTTTTGATTATAGGTCCAGGGGGACTAAAGTCCAATCTGTTCAGCAAGTACGTGGGCCTTGTAGGGTTCAGCAAGTCTCAGCAAGTCACAGGTGCTGAGGATCTCTTAATGTCGATGTCGACTTCACATGTGTTGGCTAGACCAACAGTTTATAAAATTCCGCTGCCAGAACACAATTATAATTAGACCCACAAGTAGATCATCACCAGAAAATATTCTTATTGAGTTTAATTCGATTTTTGGTGATTGTAAGTAGCCTATTAAACCAAGGTCTTGGACATTATTATTCAGGGGCCCCAAAGACGGAGATAGTTCAATCGAGGGGGGAAAATTATCAATGCGAAGCCAACATTTTGCCTCATAGCAACCGGCAAGAGACGACATGTTTCCCCGGAGGCCGTTGCTTGCAGCTGGTTCCCCACTTCGAAAGTGCTCGCATGGCTAGTCATTCCGCCTGCCTTCGTCGTTGCGGCATACGCGTTTGGTGCCGTGCTGCTCGGCTGACAATCTGCCTTAAAGGTTCCAACGAACAGCTGAAATCCAGCCATGCCTTTCATGGAGGAATGTGTAAGGAATCAGCAGAAATCCAAAGCTCCAACACCTGCAAAATAACGAACTCCGAATCAGGCTTGGACGAACCGCCCTGCGTTGGCGCTACCCTGCAGTGGTTCCCGCTTGTCCCTCAGAGGGGTCTCAGCCCATGTTCGACCGTACAAAGCTTGGTTGCACCTTAGGGACGCAAGCCCGCAGCCTTATCCTGAATTTCAAGATCTAGTTTCCCGGAGTGCGTTTGCAGCTTGGAAGGGTCCCGGCTGCGCTTGCTGTTCCAGATTCTCAGGTGTTCCAAACCCTACAAGAGATCAAGAAGCAGTTGCTCAGAATCCTTGTGCTCCCGAACCCGTCGAAGATCAGATAGCAGTCAGCAATTACGGGCGGAAAGAAGATACAAGGAAGAGACTCGTCAATCAGTCTCAAAACTCGGCTGAGGGCCTAGTCAGGCTTGTTCAAGCGGCAGGTCCCCAAGGGCAAGAAGCGACTGAAGCCGTCAAATTGAGTCGGAGTTTGCACCGAGCTCAACGGCGTTTAAAGCGTCCCAGATACTCTCCGCAACCTCCGAAGCGGCCAGCTGTGCCTTAGGTAGATTTCCAGGGTCCCCAGATGACCCTCTAGGAAGGCCCTGGGTTCCCTTACAATTCCCTTGAAGGCTCCTTGTCAGGCAGTTTGTCCTATAAGGGGTCCCTAGGAATCGTCTTGGTGCTTCGAGGCCTTGGTCTTCCTTTGGCTGGCCATGGTCTGCGTTATCCTTGACCTCATTGACATTCGCGCTGCTCTAGCTGCCGGCGTCGTCTTCTTGAAGTGGAGGACAGCCGAAAGTTCTGGTCCCATGCGTGGTATACCCCTTACATCGTAAGGTTGGGAGGACAGAAAAGGCAGAAGGATGGGAAGGGGTGCGCCACTCAAGGGAAGCCAGGACAGCTTTGCGGCGAGAATGCAGGACCCTCAAAGCAACGTGTCAACAAGTTCTTGGAGCAGCACAGGTGTCAGACTTTCGGTGCTTCATTTGACAGTATGTTCTCAGAAAAATGTGACGCCCAGAGGGTCATGTTGCTGTGCTGCCTTGCACAAAAATCGTGGTCGTGGTGTCATGTAAGTAGCTGTTCGCTGAAAAACTTCATGAAAAGTCCTGCCTCTTTTCAGGAGTAGAAGTAGTGATCTTGCTGCCCGTGCTCTCCTGCCAGGATCTTGGTGTCGCGATTTCTACCATGCCCTGTTGGAAACAAGTCTGCCGACATGGAGGTCTGATGCTGGCCTTTGGCGGTCGATGTCGAGCCGGGCCTGTGTACAGACACTTCTAGGGCTCCAAGGGTGACGATCTTCAATAGCTTCCTGTTGCAAATACAAAGAGAGGCCATGGCTATCTCGTAATGTGTGCCCTGGGCCCCAAGCATCTGAAGCTGATCTGCCAATTAAGCCTCGAATAGAATCAGCTGTTCTGGAAGTGATTCAGTCAGCAGCCCGCTGCGTGAAACTGCTGGGAAGTTTGCACTGGTCGAGGGGGCAAGCCAAGTCAATCACGTTGGTGAAAGGCAGCTGTTTACTTCGAATGTTTGAGAAGGGCATGTTGCGATGCTTCCCTCGGTCCAAGGTCTCCAGTCAGGCAATCTGCTGTTGAGAAGGCAGCCGTGGAGCGTCAGTGCACAGTCTCCCTATGTCTCCGCGGCCACACTAGACTTGCACATCTTACCGTCAGAACTGCTGAGCTTTCATGATTCCCTTCTACATTGCTGCAGGCGTTATCCAGGCATCGGCGCCTGGCAGAAGATCTCGATACAGATGCTAGGCAGAGCTGCAAGACATCTGTCTTCACTCGGGCTGCCCGATTTGTGTCAGGCGAAAGCTGGAAGCCGTGGATCCATCTCGGGCCACTTGTCGAGATCTTCCGTAGCAGCACGAAAAGCGTTGTGTAGCATCAGCTAGCACAGGCAGTTGAGATCATCGAGGAAGTGGCTGGACGACCTGATGCCCACCGCTCGGGTGTGTTGAGATGGTGTGCTGAACGTAGCACAGACGGGGATATTGCATGCTTTTCGTCCGTTTGCTACAGCCAGAGCACCGTTCTGTGTGCATATCACGTCCGTCCGCCGCTGAGGTTCGTAACCCTTCTGCCTTTGTCATGAGGGCGATAACAGCCGGGTCCCCAGCCAGCCCCTGCTGTTAAAGTAGCCTGGCTTGACAGACATTTCAGCAAACAAGCAACAATCTAACAAAGCTGAGTTGAGGTCTTGACGCCAGGCTCCACCATTGTTGATCAACACGTTCCCAAAGTCACCTGATGGCCTTCCTTTGTTTTGCCTGAACTACCATGTTCATAACCACTTAATTGCCAGCGTTGCTTACTGTTTCGTAATTGTTGCTACCTTGCGGACCCCATGCAAAAAAAATCTATGTTATACACGTCAAAAGAGGACCATCCACAGAACCGACGTGAGCATCCCCAGCATCGGGCTGAAGTTCACCTCGACGAGCTGGACCAGCTCGGCAGCCACAGTCGTTTAGTGAAGGTGTCAGCATACCCCCTCAATGTTTTTGCATAATCCTCACGTACGGCTGGAGTTTCTGAGCTGGGGCAACGAAAAACGGAGAGATGGTTTTGTTCATTTGGGATGTTTCAGCCATGCCTCAGCCCTTCTCTCCCTCACCAGCCTCTGATGGACCAGCATGGACCAGCTACCACAGCAAGTTTTACCTTTCATTTTGAGAGTTGGTAGTGGAGGGTTTTCTTTTGGCTGATTGCTTTCACTCACGAGGCCTGTACAAACACGATGACAGGAGCACCTGCTCGCTCGGTACCCGCAAGTGAGCGCTGGCTTGGATGAGGCAAGAGTGTTCTTGAGCAATTGATACGATTGCAAAACGGCCTTGAGCCCTCGATGGCCTGTCTTAGCAACATGTCCTGGTTAGGGCATGTTAGGGCCATAACTTCAGAGGCTTGTTTTGCATCGACATCAACAGCGCTGCCATCCCGATAACGCTCTGAATTCATCAAAACACTTTGGAAACAACTGAGCCAGTCCGGGCTGCGTCACTGAGGCAGAGTATCTCAAAAATAGAACCTTTCTAGAATTCCCAAAGTTACGGAAAATCTTCAGGCCCTAGAAGAGTGCGAGGGTTCTGATTGATTGTTGAAGATTCAGGGTTTAGGTGGAGTAATGTGCGGATATCCCATTGTAGGATTTGCAATCGCTTCTTCAAGGCTAAAGCATCTTATGCCAAACCCAAAGTTTGGTGTTTATGATCCAAACCGAGAAATGAAAGTTGCAGACTCTTGTGATTATGAGCTCATGCAAAAATGAAACCCCCAAGTAGCAAAATAGAAGTCGTGAGCCCAAACAGCATTGACGTTTCTGTTTCCCAGCTATATATCTACCAAAAGCCATGCACAGCATTCAAACTTCCTTGCTATGCTCTATGTTTAAGCTTCAGCGGAAATCATTGCTTCCTGATCTAACTTTCGGAACCTTCCCACTAGAACGACAGAAGCTAGACGTGTGACACAGCAGGATCAAGAATTCCGGCTCTGACCGTCCTACGCTCTTTTGTTCTCCTACTCATGCTGTTGAGACTGGACTGATGATGCACTACTCTGGAGACCCCCCCTTCCGAATAGAATGCGCGCATCGCTGCTATCCCGCTAAAGGCTGCGGTTGCGAAACTGCGGGAGGCGCGCCAACTGAGATTGTCTTTGCGAGTTTCTTTGAAAAGGGGTTTCGAGCCAGCTCTGATTCTACCACTCTGTACGTGCTGCAAGCCTTGGCCCCAGCCACTTTGCCACTCAATTCAGCTGTGTGGTTTGCAACACAGCCGGGGCCGGGTGTGTAAGGTGCTTCCGGCACTGCTTCCGGCACATATTGCCCAACCCACCCTTGCCTAAAAAAGCCCTTAATAGTAGCTTCTGCATATCTCCTCATACGAGCCCTATGCAGCTACCCATGAGTTCCAAGAATACAGAGGCAGCTCCAGACCGCGCAGAGGAGATCTTGGAAGATATGGCTCATATGGGTGCCTGGAGGGGTGGAGGGTTTAAGATGTAGGCCAGCGTGGGGGCATGATGACATGGTCTTCTCGATAATTCTGAAGAGCGGGTTGCAGCGACTGTGCTTGGATTCTGGCATTCTGCCGTGGTCAAGTCCAGATTGAAAAGAGCTATGTGGCACTGGCCTCACTGGGACATTCATGGGTAGTGATAGCTGAGGTTTTTGTGCATTTGCATGCCTACTGCTTATGCAATACAAAAGGTACATATGTATTTATTCGGCTAGAGTATTCATCCCAGAACTCAGAACAGTCTCAAAAAGCCGGATTACACGCAGTTACAATTGGGGCGGCAGCACAGACGCCCATTATCAGCTAGCAATTAAGCACATCTCAGGTAGGCACTGTCTGAAGATTGCTGGTTGATCAAGATAATTGTATCGCACAGTTTAAGTTTTCGGGTTGGGGAAGAAAACGGTCCCGCATAATATGCCCTTCAAAAGATTACGTAAGTCTGTCCACGAGAAGCACCAGCTTCGTGGCCCCCCCCGCAATCTTCACCGAACCCGCATTTTGACATTGAGTCTCTTGAAACCCGGCAGCCTACAGGGGTCAAGCCTGCACTTACAGCTGTATGACCCGAAGAAGTGCTCCAAACTATGCAGGAGTATTTTGAAGACCCACCTGCAGATTGTCCCCTTTTTTTGAACGTTTCCTGCCAATTTGCTGTGTCCGAAGATGCCTGCGACCCCGCCCACTAGTTTCTGGGGTACGAAGAAACTCTTTCTGTTTCTGCCCTGAAGGCAAGGTATACCTCTTGAAGGGGTCTCAAGAACCAAAGGCAATAGAAAGTGTCATGTGGACTGTTCCTCTTTTGAATGCCAGGCATCCACAATCCATCCGCGTTCGTGGTTAAGGCAGTGGCCGATTCAGAAATGGAGCTTTCGAAGTCTGGGTTGGTCAGTGACCGCATGTCACCGCTAGCGGGGGTCACTGTTGTTTAAACAGGCCATATGATCTTCACAGAAGGTTCTTTGTGCTCATTTGACGCAACTGCAAGACCCTTGCTGGGCAGGAATGTTTGCAGGTCAAGTTGACACGAGGTTTGCTCTTGGTGTAAAGGGCGTGGGTTTCAAGCAAGGTTCGTGTTTCACAGGGGGTTTGGCCCGAAGAAAGGTCAAGAAGCCTGAAAGTAAGGGAATAATCTGGCTTACTGAGTGAAGTAGGAATCCTGCAGAGCATCCAACCCAATGAGGAATTACTTGAGCAGGACACGGGGCCCTGTTCTTCCTATTTTGCTCAATTGCGCTCTCGACTGAATCATTCAGCTCTCCTCCCCACTCCAATGTGCATCAAGTCAGCGCATCGTCCCTTACGCTCTGTTCAGCTTAGAGTCCTTGCATTGTGGCTGGCAAGTGACGTTTTGGAATAAGATGTCACAAAACTCTCGCCCGCCTTCTGGGGGCAGTCCTTAACCAATTGGTATACGAGGCTCTTGGAGCTTCGGGCCACGTGTAGATTTGAGGGTGCACTGGTGTAAGGAGGTCCGGTGCGGCGTCGCCAGGTCTACCGTTGTTTTGTCATCTCACACAAATTTGGAGGCCGTCGCGGCATCTCGGACTCGCCGTGGAAATCCCGAGGCCGGATCATGGGTGACTAGCTGCAAGCAAAGCGACAGGTAGTTGCAATGGCTTGCTGTGGCCGAAGCCGTGTCCGCGGGGTTTCTGGGCGTTCACACAGCGATCCCACCAACTTCTCTCTTGTGAGGATTTCAAGGCAAGGGGGAGATGGGTATCATCCTTGGGGTTAGCCGAGCGAACCATACTTCAAACTTAAGAAGGCGGAAGATGTCATGCGAGGGCCGGTGCGAGGAGTTTCGATTACGACTTAGCTGTGTAGCAGAGAAGCCTGGAGGCTAGGCATCCTTCGGACGAGCAGCTTCGGAGAAAAGCCTATCCCAAAACGCGGACTGCCGCGAACACCAGATGTCAACCCATGTTTGTAAACCATGCCGGCCTTTCTTGCAACTTGGTAGGTTTATCTTCTACCCGTCCCCAAGTCGCCACCAAGCAAGTCATTCTTTGCAAAAGGTCCTCTTTGCAGTACGCGTTTGCAGCTTTTACCTGAAGCTAAAGACCCGAATTTCGTCTACCAATCGGTATCGCGCTGAGAAGTACCCTTGAGCCTTTGAGCGTTTGCTCTTTAGGCACCACCGCCGCTGAAGGTGGCCAGGAGAATGTCTCCAGGGAGTTCGGGGGAGGGATGTGTGTTTCATGTCCTGTCAGGGGATGTCAGATGTATTTCACACCCAGCGCACGTCTACACATCTTCAGCGCAGGCTTCTTGTATTTTGGTACGCATACAACGAGGACTTGATTTCTGCGCTTCGTTTGATACATCCCTTGCACTTAAGAATGGGGATGGTACATTGAGGGCCACACAAGCTTTCCCCGAGGCAGCCTTGTGTCCTTACCCCATAGGCCGGCCAGACCTGTGCGCATGGGAGCATTCCAAACTTAGGATCTGTGTTTGCGCTGCTCATAATTTATAAGAGTATCCTTGACGTGGCGATCCCCCAGCAGGGAAACATGCTTTGCTCGTGTTTGGAATGGCCTGGTTCCGGAGACAACTCTGCGAGGACTCAGTACGGAAACGGCTTTTACCCGGAAGACCGCGGCCGTGGAAGGGCGTCAGAGGCGTTAGTGCTGTGGCCGGAGAGTCGCTTTTTTCAGCCTACTCAGTCTAGCCCCGTCTAAAGCTACTCATGATGCTCCAAGCAGTTGAGCTGCAAGTGTTCCTAATTTATTTCATATGGACACATGGATGTTGATGCCTTCTGGCTAGCTTTCGGTGGAGGAAGCAGCTCATTCTCATATCCGCAGTCCATCTGCGCCAACGTCGATGCCGCTCCCATTAGTTTACCCAAATTGTAGTTTCCCTAAATAATTGGGGCGCCCCAATCTAGACCCCAGAATGGATGCATGGACCCCTACAGCATCGTCTACACAATGTCAAGAATCTAATAATTTCCATGTTGCCTTTTATTCCTTCATCCCCTACTGAATGAGTAGTTTGCAGCCCCAACACCTTGGTAGCCACTGGCGGAGGCGTCAGACCTCGAGCGCCGGGGTGCTCGAGCTGGACTCGTACGCCCCTGAGACTTCTGGTTTAGGACTTGAGTATGCGTGCGGCCATCGGGGTTGTACGTGCAGCAATTGTTGCGAACAGTGTGGGCCCGGCATCAGGAAAAGGGTACAGGAGCCAGGGAGTATTAGACATTTTTTGGGTTTGAGGTGTCAATTATAGGGAGCTAGCAGAATTACAGGGCAGAGGAAGAGTCGCCACGGTGCTTTGCCAGACTGCACTACTCTTGTCAGCAGTCCAAGAATATTTTTTGGTGTTGTCGTTGTTCAGATTGTGAATAGGCCAAATTAATGGCTGTGTACTCAGTTCAGGCAGCTTCACCGCGGGAACACATCGGCGCATGCATGTTTCGCGCATCATTCCGTCGCAGCGGCATGGGTCACACTCTGAGTAGCCCCACACGCATCCCCAAGGAGTTCCAAAAGCCGCCTGAAACATGTGATTGTGAAACGCAGGCTATGCTTTTGGCATCAGAATGAACCGGTCCATAATTGTCCGCTGCACGCCCCCAAGCGCACCCCAAGACAAGCATCGCGTGAACATACAAATGACTGAGCCGGCTTTGTGTTTGACTTAATTGCTTTCTTGGTAGCAAACGTACTGTTTTGTGTGCATCGCGCAGGGAGACATGCATCCAGTCTAGCGGATAGCATGAAGCGAGCCTACAGCGGAGCTGATTTTGCTGCCCAGGATGAGGATGCTTTGAGGCCCTTGGCAGCCTAGCTTGCTTGGCTGCAGAGTTATCACAAACCTGTTTGTTTTGGACTCCGCTTGAGTTACTCGGAAATGATGAGAATTCTTGCATTCTCTAGACGGTTTTCCTTAGGAGCTTGTACTTTTGAAGAAACTTTTAGCACGTCAGCAAGGGACACCTGCGCACTTCTTTGGCACGAGCTGCTGCCCAAGCATGAAGTCAGCCCCGAACCTCATTCTGAGACCATGCCTACCATGCCCTTAGTGGCATTAGCGTTCTCAAATCATAAATGCTAACATTCCTGTAGCGGCCGTTTGTTCTATATGAAGTGCGAGTCTTGCATGTTTTACTACGTATTCAAAGTACAATTTCCACGGGTAACAATGTATACTTCCTGTCAGGCTCATACGTACGGCGGATCCTGCTCTGCCCTCAGGAAAGCTTTGCCTGGGCATTGCAGGAGTCACTGACTAGTTGGAAAGAAGGTTCCGCCCTTACTGTAGCATATTGGCACGACGCTGTATAGCCATCATGTGAGCACCTAGTTACGTTACAATCCTCAGGCAGTTTCCATCAACCCCAGAAGGCTTTCATCAATTGCCCTCATGTCATGGGATATCCGGGCAGGATAGAGGAATAGGGCAGCAGCATCTTCATGGCACGAAGCTTTGCAATCTCTATCTCTAGCTTATCCGCCGACAACCCTTAGACTTTCAACGCTCAACTCGAAACCCGGCCTACTGGACAAGCCGGGGAAGAGGAAAAACATGCCGGACCCCCAACTAAACAAAGAAAATCTAGCCAGCTATTCTGTCTAGGTTTCATAACCTTTGAGCAACTTGACTACATTTTTATCCACCCCTTTTCTGGCTCGCCTAGGCTCGTGCTGCGGAAGTGCTGGAAGAGCTTGAGCTCAAAGGCCGTGAGGCGGCTGTAGCTCAAGCATTGTCCACTCCTTCAGGTAGATTTGTAGGGAGGGCAACATTTATATACATGTATGTGTGTGTGTGCGTGTATATATTATGTATTCCTCTGTAGATATACATACACATACCTGTATCCATGAATGCATACGTAGTGCTATCTATGTAGCTTCTAATATGTTTACAAACAGCAAGGGGCTCTGGGGCGCGTTCATTATAAGGATCCTACCTGTGGATCCTTACATAACAAAGGGTCTGCATATTTGGGCTCTTGTAGTGGGATTGCCATCATTTGGAGAGCATCAGGCGAGAACATGGCTGGTGTGTTGCGCCTATTTCGTAACAATTTGGGAGACTTTCGCTTAGCCCCCATCCGGATAAAGCTGGCAGCAGTTGGGCGCCAAAGAGATTATGACGGACAACTTGAATCGAATCCTCCAAGGTTTGTCCCACATACTCCTGTGTGTGAATATACGCATATATCTGCGCATGCACCCCGTCCGATCCCAAAACGCTTCTGTTGCGGTACCCCAGCCCTTTACGGGAGTGACCTAAACAAATCCCTGAAACAGACCTTATGCCTTAATGCAAAACACCTTAACCCCAAGACTCGAGATTTTGACCTTAACTCAAGATCCCCAAGCTCGAAGACCTGATTGCAGAAAACCTAGATAGATCCTACAAAACTCCTAAATAGCCCTGTAACCTATATAACACCCAAACCCTACAGAAACCAGGTGCGAAACCCCAGCGCCTTCGTCTCCAAGTCATTATCGCAGTATCCCATGCCTCGACGCAGGCAGATTTCTAAGAAGTTTTGGGCCCCAAAACAAGGCGCTAGTAGGGGTTATATGGGGCTATTTGGGGGGTTCATATAGGGTTTTTTGTTTGAAAGAGTGAAGGGGTGCTGTACTTCGGGTGTAGAAGGGGGGCCTTGTTCTGGACATGCCCTCTACTACACAGGAATGTTGGTCTTCGCGGGACACCTTTTTCAGGTGAACATGTGCAAGGCGGCATCCTTTATGTTAACCACCTCTGCAAGCTGGAGCTCATTCTGTCAGGATGACCCCAACCAGATTCAGGATCAACCAAACCGAGTTGTTTCAACTGTTCTCAGCGATCCCTACAGACGGTGTAGAAAGAAATCATGTCGCACCAGCCTGAAGTCTGTGACGTTCAGTGGCTTGCATGGGGCGCTTGGAGGTTGAGTCAGGAGGCCCTGGCAATACGAAACATACGCTTCAGAGCATTTGTGCGACCTGAAAGCTGGCTGCTCAACACATGCGAGGTTTCTTCAAGTAGCCAGGAGTTTGCAGAAGCCTGGTTCTTCGTCTCCATAAATCCCATGGCCCAGCGGCCCACCTCCCTTTCCCTCAGGTGATGATGATGATGATGATGCGTGCTCACAATGCCTCGACGATGGTCTTCAATGATTGGTTGCGGCATAGGAGTTCATCCCAGCCTGGACCTACACAAATGCTTAGAGTTGACTTGAAGAGGAAGGATAGATGTCCGCCAACCCTGCTGGGGTTTCTGAAGCAAATGCACTTGTGAAGTAATTCATATGACTCATATGAGTGCACGGAACTCACACGCACACACACAAACCACTGCCGACAGCATTAATGTTGCGGTCACCATCACTCTATTTGACTAGGTGTGGAGAGGTGCTGCTGGTCGCGTAAAAAGGTCTTCAATTGGCTGTGCATTTTTTCCGCTGTAGCACAATGATGGTTTTGCAGACAGCTCGGTGAGGCCTTCAGGAAGGTCAACTAAGCTTGGTCATAAGAAATCTGGAGAACCGTTGAGCGATTGCAGTTTTTCCGCTAGCTGTGAAAGCGGGGCTCTTGCAATTTCAAAAGCTCCACATCAAATTGTCATTGTCAAATTCCTCGGCAGCGGGAGCCGGCAGGTGGTTTCGTGGAAGGGTGGCAAGCCTTGCTCTGATCTTGCGTGCATGTGATGAATATTTGCATTGAGTACTGCGATATGCTGAGCTGGCTGCAGACGAGACAAGACATGTTCAAGAGGCGAAGGTGGTTGGTGGCGGTCAGACGCTGACATCCATACCCTTGCAAGCAAAACTCAGGCCAAGGCTCCAAGTTCAGATGTTCCAGCGAGGTGTTCAAAATTGTGGGGCATTGCGGCTGGGTCTGGCGTCTGGCATTAGCATGGCTGCTGTTTGGCTGGAGACCCATGGCAAGGCGCGCCTAGTGAAGAACCTAAGTGCCTAAGCAAGATACCCACGGCTTCAGTAAATTCCAAACGTAATCTGCTTCATTAGTCGTTGACACGAGCTCGCAGGCCGTGCTCGTCAAGGGTGACACCATGATGATCAAGGATCCCAGCTTAGCACTGCTTGTCATGCAATGCCTGCTTCCGTATTTCAAATAGGCAGGTGGGGCGCGCCAAGTTCTTTCCAATGCAGTTGCTATGACAACTCCTGGCCTGAGGACCTTCTGAAAGCAAAAGGCGGAAAGTGGAATGGTGGACTAAAGTCATGGCTCTTCCCTGGTAGCAAAAAGGCCGGGGCTGCACTCACACACCATACATGGCATGCCTCTTCATAGGTTTGGGATGTGGTGACACATTGTTGACATGGCAACTCCCTGCGTGCGCGAGCTTCATTCACTGAATGCTGACGCATGTGCAAGTTGTTCTTCCATGACATGCGTCGCTTCTATCCAGATGCCTGGCAGTGTTTTGCCAGGCCACGATCATGGAAGGCCGTTCTGACATTTTACACCGTAGCCAGGGTTGTTGGTGCAGTCACTCTCTTTCTCGGAACGCTGCAATTGGAGGTAGTGTTGGGTCGGTTGCGGGAGATCCTGAGCTTGTGATGCCATGTGCAGATCTTCAGAGCTCCGATAAAGTGAAAAGTGTGGAGGACAAGTGGGGGGCCCAGGAGTGAGCCAGAAAGACCAGCGATGGCCAGGGTGAGCACATCTTAAGAATTCTTGCGAGGCCCAGAGTCCTCTTGCAGCCCTGTCGACTCACAACCTGCAATCCTTGAATCTGGCATGCGTGGGGGATGTTTATGGAGAGGACTTGCGCTGCAATTTAGACAGGCAATTTGGCGACTGAAAGCCCCGTTGGAATTTATTTGGCGGCTAATTCAGCGGATGCATCAGGCAAACCACACAGAATGCAGAAGTGGACGCTGCGTCTGGGTCCATCCAGCGCGCAGCTGCCACATCAAGTCAAAGGATTAAACAACAAGTATACGACATGTTTTGCTGGTGGCGGTTCTGCTCATTGTCGCATATCTAGCAGCCCTCCAAGAGAAGCAGAGAGTCCCAGCCGAGGACAGATGGGGCGGCGACAGCCCCTGCCACAGCGGCACCTGCAAAGCCCCCTCCCGCCACCGTGCATGCCTCATCTTGTAGTTTTCCTGCCCCAAAACTTAGGGTCCCTGCAACAAGTCTGCAACATGAAGGGGTCCGTGGTTGTTGGTGTCAGAACCTCAACACGCGCCGCAGAATTGCGAGAAGTCTACTTTGACTGCCTTTAAAGCAGCACGGGAATGATGGCCAGGAGGATAATAATGATCATCATGGTGATGGTGGTGTAGTGACCGCTCACTAAACCATGTTCGCTAAACCCTGTTCAGTCCCTGTTCCAAATGACAGGAGGAGGACTGTTAGTAGGTGCCAGCACCCCCTACTGGTACAACCGTGTTCTTAAACCTGGCAAAAGCTGAGGCAGTCCTCAATGCTAGCACCTTAAAACCAACCCTAAGTCCCCAAGTATATAAGCCTTCATCGTTAAGCGTAAAGCCATCTGTTACGGAAACTGGTCAGGCCAGGGCATGCCTGTGCTTTCTGGGCAAGGCGCGTGTTGAAACCACCTCATAAGGCGGCCCTGAACCCCAAACCACAAGCTATGCCAGAGATAAGTCCAAAGCCTAGGCCAAAGCAGCGCCTACCAAGCGCGTAGCTGCAGAACCTGATGACAACGGCGAGAAGGCTTGCTGTTGCTGATGCTGAAGACTAGTTTCACGACCTCTTGGGGGATTACGTGGTATTTTCCCATGATTTCCCCTGAGCTGGGTTGAGGGTTTCGCTGGCGTGGCATGTGCCAACGTTATCAGATTTGTTTACGGGGGAGGGGGGGTGGAGGGCATTACGTATTACTCTGCAGTTCAATGTTTTGGCCAGTGGACAGCGTCATGGCTGTGAGGGTATCGTACCATTCGTGGTGTTGCTGTGGAGAATGTCTCTGACGTTTCTCATGGCCCGGACAGTGTATGGCTCTTCAGCTGTTTATATCTTTCACGTTCTTCTAGCACCAAATCTAAATCTGAAACCCAAAGCTTCCGTGGCTTTTCTTTGCTTGAGTGCTTCAAGAGCGCATGTCGTAAAAAGTTGGCGTTTGCCTGCCAGGATTGGCGCTAGTTCCTTTGCTGTTCTTACTCCTGGTTGAGGAGCTCCTGCACCTGTAATATGGCAAAGATTAGAAAAAGGAAAGGACTCCCATGATAACGGGTGGGTGAGGTCTTCGAGTTGGTCGATGATGCGGCTCATCTGCGAGCTGAAGACCTGATGAAAATGTTTGGTTTTTTTGTCTTCGACAATGCGTCCTATGTAACGAATGAGATTGCGTAGGGCTTCGAAGTTGAGAAACCTAGAAGATGTAGCGATGCAATGTCATTTTTTTTGCATGTAGGGAAGCTGCATGGTGGTATACGAGCCATTTTTAGTCTGATAGACATGGGGATATTTGTCATGACCGCTGTTCCTGGCTTGCTGCTGAAACTGGTCTAAGCACCAGCCTTATCAAGCTATGATTGACGAGGGCATGAGTACTCGTCCCGCATTTCTATCATCGTTACTGCGTAGGGTGGTTGATGGTCTGGTAGTGCTCCGACGCCTGGGGGGTCTCGCGCAGAAGCGCACAGAGTAAGACATCAGCCACTCCGATTTTGTCAAACGCCCTGAGGCTAGAAGCTCGAAAGTGAATATCGAACGTGAAGACTACTTTCGGGTTAGCCGGCGCTTGCTATGGAAAGTTGAAACCATTGTAGAACTTCCTCCCTCTAGCAGGCACTAACCCTTACTCACTAACCCAGACCCCTGGGAGGATCCAAAAATTAGATCCCCTGTATAGACCCATTATAACTTATAACCCCTCTATAATCCCCATATAATTTCCCGTATGGTTGTCGAGGATCTAATTTTTAGATCCTTTTCAGGGTCTGGGACTCCCCAATGGCATTGGACCGAGGTCCGGGTCACCCTGTCAAGCTTCAAGAACCAGATGGGTCTCATGACAGCATGCTCATTTGAGCTAGAGTCTAAACTCTGCAATAGGGGGTTATATGGGGGAATATATAGGGAAGTATTATGGGGCTTATTAAGGAGGATACTAGGAGTTGAGACTATGCCTCATATGGTGGTTCCAGTGAGGTCCACTGGGACCGTAGGGGTATAGGGTAGCAGATAGATAGGTACAATTTGTACATACATACATACATACATACATGCATGCATGCATACATACATACATGCATATGTGTACTTTACGTATATGAATTATAGCGCGGCGTACCCCTTGAGGAATACATAGATCTTTTCTTTGAGAAGCTACCACCTAGGTGAAGCTACAGGTGCTCTAATCTGGGCAGCACCTAAATACCACTTGCAATAACGTACGAGCCTCCAAGCGAGTACAGGCCTCAGAGTTTGGGAACCCCGAGAAGCAGTACCTTCAGCAGCGCTCTCGTCATGCTAGCTGAACCTTTTATCTAATCTGCGATGGACTCTGAATGCAGACGGAATCTCCCAGCAATTGCGTCTTGAAGGATGCTTGGCGCCTTCTTGTGAGCAGCTCATGCTCTGTAAGACTTGGATTAATTTGCGTAATAGCTTCTGTGTTGTCTTGCCGCACCTCAGAACGGGGGCTTCGGCTTCCATATGCCCAAGAGTGTCAGTCCTGCAGGCAAGCCCCGAAATAGATGAGACTCTACCCTGGAACGCCAGTGGGCGCAAGAGCGTTAATCGAGCCTAAGGCGTTGACATTCGAAAATTCTACACCGAGAAGGCCTGGTGATTGCGATGCTTCGAAGACTTCCTGCTCCAGGGTCTCCGACTCCGGTGTATTTCACGCGAGACTGTCCGGTAAAGCGGGACCCGAAAAAGAGTTCCCTGAAGTGGGCTCTCCTTTCATGCTCACCTTGCTTCTGCTTCTTGCATGGTCATGGGCCTGAGTCTTTGGTGCGGGGACAACGCAAGCGAGCGTAATTGCCGCAAAAGCCAGGCTGCAAGTCTGAGGTGTGGCCTCCAAGCCAGGCCTCTTGAGCATGTCTATGGGACTCCGGTTGAAACTATTGAGTCCAGCCCAACTCGAAGCGAGCTCAACTTGGCGTGAGCTAGACCAAACACCCTGCTCACACAGGTGTCAGGCGAGCTGCGGCCAACCCCCAAGGCGCCAACCAACAGTGAGATTTGCAGAATGCCTTGCCAACTTCTGACCTGTTGCTTTTGAACTGCGTGCAGAAAGAGGTTGTAGCTCAGGTACTTTTGGTTGAACATGCTGCGTACATGGCAGACACATTGGCCTTTGCCCCGTGCCGAGATGTTCAGCCTGCTTTCGCCAGGGCGTTCGTGTCTCGAAGGAAGAGTGGGAAGCACTCTGCCAAAACCTCAGACGTTGCACACCGCCTGGTGCGTACACTCGGTGCTTCGCACCCAAGCAGTATGCTTGGGCATGCTTGGGCTGATTTGGACACATCAGGGACTGTTTCCATTACGATTTTTGTAGCATGGTCAGATCAAGCATCGCAGCTGTAAAGCAGTGGGTTCAACGCTACTTCGACTGCTACTAAGAACAAGCCGGACGAAAACACATCCCCACGAAATTCGTAAAGCCACCCGCAATAAAACAGGGTTCAAGGTAGCTTGTTGATGGCATGTTTTTGGAGACGGCGCCTGTAAGAGGCCGTGTGGTTGAAGAGATTTTAGTGGGGATGGGGGGGGGTGGGGGGGGTATAA